CAGGACAACAACAATGAGGAAATTGGGTTGAAAGTTAAGGAGAACTGTTAGGATTTTTAAAACCTGTGTGCCCTTTGGGTAGGACTCAGGTGAGAAAAAAAATGTCTGAATTAAAGAGCAGGAGTCACTTCTGATCTCCTCTTAAAGCCTTAAAGGAAGGAAATCAAGAAACAGTAGGATATTCAACGAACCAGCAAAAACCTTTTTAGAAGTTTGCCATGGTATGAGATTTATTCTTATCAAAATAAAAACTCGAGGGCGCCTGGGTGGCTCAGTTGGTTAAGCGACTGCCTTCGGCTCGGGTCATGATCCTGGAGTCCCTGGATCAAGTCCCGCATCGGGCTCCCTGCTCGGCGGGGAGTCTGCTTCTCCCTCTGACCCTCCCCCCTCTCATGTGCTCTCTCTCATTCTCTCTCTCAAATAAATAAATAAAATCTTAAAAAAAAAATTAAAAAAAAAATTAAAAAAAAAATAAAAACTCGAGGAACAACGCTCTATCAATAATAATAACCTGATACTCTTACGGTGTTATCTTATAAAAACAACAATGACAACAAATCCTACCACTATTTCCCACTAAAGTTAGGGACGTGATCCATGTGGTTGAGAAGTCAACTGCTTCAAATCGCTAAAAAATGAACATATTAGCTAATTTCTATTTATTGCTTAATTTGTCATTTTTAATAAAAATATAGCCGAGTTCCCCAGGAAGCTGTGTTTTCACTGTTTTTATAATTTAAAAAATTAATGTGACTATTGCAGATTATTCTCTTTAAATTGTTAAGAGGCCATTAACTTTCCCATGAGGATGTGGGACCCACTTGAGGTCTCTCGCTGATGGTGCCTGGTGGGCTTTATAAACACAAACCCTGCAGTAGGGCTTCCCTTAAATTTTTATTCTTCTCTGGACACATGTATTTATATACATAAACATATATTGAGATTTTGAAACTTATAATTCTGGACTTGTCTCCTCAGAATGAATTTTGCTGCTTTGTATTCCCGTTTCAAGGAGTGGCGTTCTTGAGGCTCTGGGGAACTTGCAGAATTTGATGGCATTAGGATATTTTACAATAGAGTCTTTGTAATTCCATATAAATGTGACATATATATAAGAAAACTGATTCTGGCTGCTTTAGTCCTAATGAGAGGATGTGGCAGTTACTGTAACATTTCCCCCTTAGTTCAAACAATCTTCGTTTTTAAAACACTGCTGTGAAAAAGATAGCAGTTTTGAACTAATGCGAGTTCTAGGATTTTTGAGGGTATAAATCTCTGGAAAGGAAAAACCCAGCATCCAAAAATAAGTCAGAACATAGCAATACGCTCTGGAATTTATATAATTTTGAATCTCTCCAAATTTTCTTGGGAGCAAGGGGTTATGTTATTATCCCAGTCCATAGATGGGTAAATAGGGAACAGAGAGATTAATTCACCCAGTGACGGGGCCAAAAAGCAAAACCTAGGTATTCTTTACACAGCGTTGAGCCCTTTTCTTTAGATGTAAAATATTTAATTGTATTAAAATATTCACCACCTCAAAACAGGATCTGAATGGAGCCCCTCAAAGTACTGTTGATGAAGAGAGGATATGAGCCTGAGTTAATCCAGACTGCCACATGGAAAAGCCATCTGGGAGGGTATTTTGAAATAAACAGATGGAAAAGGAAGAGATCCTTTTGTATGTAGTGTTAAATTTACATTATCCTCCATGAACTTCCACGTAGCCCCCATGTTTATATAATTCATCACTGTATCCTTAGACAATAAAGATTAGGAAGCCCAATGAGCTCACTTTTTTTTTTTTTTTTAACTCTGAACTCTTCCTTTGGAGGGCAAATCTAGAGGAGGTCTGTAAGACAGCCAGATGGATCAGTGAAGACCAACCCAATCCATCTGTGCCTTCTTCGATAGTCCTGATTCTCTTGGGAAAGAATTTATGATTTCTTGGTATATTACTGACCAATTTGCCATCAGTTTTGGCCACACTGATAATCTCCACCTATGATTTATTTGTTTCTGTCTCTCTACTTGGGAATATGCCACTCACTTCATTGATAACATCTTCCTTTCTTTCCCTAATTTAGGTCTCCATTTTCCCCTCTGCAACTAAACAACAAAAACAAAATCAAAAGGCTTCCTCCAGGGGTGCCCGGGTGGCTCATCAGTTAAGTGGCCCACTCTTGATTTCAGCTCAAGTCATGATCTCAGGGTCCTGGGATGGAGTCTGTGTTGGGCTCCCTGCTCAGCAGGGAGTCGGTTTGGGATTATCTCTCCCTTTCCCTCTGCCCCTCCCCCTGCTCACTCACGCGCACTCTCTTTCTCCCTCAAATAAATAAATAAATCTTAAAAAAAAAAAAAGTCTTCCAGGAATTATCCCCTTAAGTAACGCCTGGCATTCCACTCATCCATCTGTATCCCCTATGTGCCTCATACACATTGGCATTCTGTGGTCATTTGTTCAACAAATGTTTAAATGTCTTCTCATGTGTGTTCACCGAGTATATTCTTCACCCCTGGCTGGCTACACGTTAGAATCATTTGGGAAGTTCATAAAAAAGAATGATGCTTGAGTCTTCAGACCAAATAATCAGAATCACTGAAGGGTGGGGTCAGTGGTGTGTAGGTAAACTTGCTTGCCAGGAAAAAAAGGTCCTGATTTGTAGTAGTTGTCAATTTCCATGGGGTAAATACTCACACCATAGTGGATTTTAAGCTACCTACCTGACATCACCAAACATACAATTTGGAAGAGATGCTCACAACTGGCTCGTAAGGGCTGGCTCCGCACACACTACCGGGCAGGGTTCAGGCATATATATACATGTGATATTGAGATATATATAATAGCCACATAAATACACACACACACAAACACACACACATACAATCTCTAGGTCATTCTAATATGCAGCCAACGTTAAGAACTTTTTAACTAGATTACACATTTCTCAGATGCAGTAACTGTTTTTGTTTGCCTCATCTTCCTTACAACACCAAGAATAGAGACTGAATCAATGTCATTAACAGACCACATAACGTTATTAATCTATTGTTCATAGCCAGTGATGCAACAGTGAACACTGCAGTATCCTTTGACCCCAATGCACTGACTTTTAAATTTACTTTCTCTTGAAGTTCTTACTGATGGAAGATGAGAGGCTAAATATATTTGGAATCTCCTACTTAAAATGTTTTTGTTTATATTTTGTTTATTTAAATATTGTTTACAAACACTCAAACACTGGGTATTTATTTTTAGTACTCCTTACCTCTCTTGGCTTTTAAGGGGGCAGCCCTGAGAACTTTTTTTTCATGTTAACTCTGCTTTTATTTTACTTAAAACACACATTTTCCCTATATGCTTACATGTGTTTAGAAGTTTCAATTTTCTTTCAAGCAGCATTTGTATAGAATAGTAGACACATGATTGCTCGGATGATCTTTCTCAGGCAAGGCACCATTGTCCCAAGAGAACGGGGTGCAAAGTACAGTTTTAGAGACCTCAAAGGAAAAGATCCCATGGATATTTTAAAGTATATGAAAGAACTCTACAAAGAACAGAACTTGGTAACCCATGACACTGGGTAACGACTTACTTCAGCAGGTTCTGTATGATATATTCAGATCTGGGCATCTTTTTTTAAAGATTTATTTATTTATTTTAGTTGGGGAGGGGCAGAGGGAGAGGGAGAGAGAATCTCAAGCAGACTCCGAGCTGAGTGTGGAGCCCAACACGGGACTCAATCCCACAACCCCCAGGCCATGACCCCAAGACCATGACCCTGAGATCATGACCCAAGTGGAAACCAAGAGTCAGAGGCTCAACTGACTGCACCACCCAGGTACCCCTTCCTGGGCATCTCTTTAAACCCAGAGGTGGAGAATAGTAGGACATTCTTAAATTTTAATAATAGCTCACATACTTGACAATCATGGTTAATTTATTCTTCAGGTTTTTTTTCCCCTTCAAGATATACTTCCTCAATAAATATGATTCTTATGTTTCTATGTATAGATTATATTCAGGACAAGGAACACCAGGCATAAAGAATAAGAGAAGTAAAACTGGTTCCTAATTTTGATGCTGCTAAAACTTCAGAAAATCTGATTCAGCCAATGAGGAAGGACCTGAGGATTCATCAATCTGCAAAGTTGGGAGAACTTAGTTTCCCAGTTCCCCAGCCTTCTTTGGGGGTGTTTTGGGATTATCAAAGGTTATGGAATAAAGCAATAAACAGATTATGTTCCTGTCATAAATCACAATATATTTTTCAGCTAATAAGTTCTGTATCAAGTCAATGGAATATGGATAGATAGAAGGAAAGGACAAAATTTGATGTTTAAAGAGTTGGCAAAACACGTGATAAGATTATTAAATATTTGTTTTATATGAGGCACAGAAATAAAGATTTTACTTTTTAAAGTATTTATATTTGCTTTGTACACTTCAGGCCTTGACTGTCTAGGGGTTGTTTTTTTTTAAGATTTTATTTTTAAGTAATCTCTATACCAAACGTGAGGCTCAAACTGAAAACCTGGAGATCAAGAATTGCATGCACTATGGACGGAGCTAGCCAGGCACCCCTTAGGGTTTTTAATGACACAATCTCAGACTATGTATTCCTGGCTTTGTCTGAAGGACACAACAAATTTGCAAGAATACTGTGATGCTGACATAATCAAAAATAGAAAAATTCTAATTAAAGATTTAATTTGGGGTTGGGACGCCTGCGTGGCTCAGTCGCTAAGCGTCTGCCTTCGGCTCAGGTCATGATCCTAGGGTCCTGGGATCGAGCCCCACGTTGGGCTCCCTGCTGAGCGAGGAGCCTGCTTCTCCCTCTCCCACTCCCCCTGCTTGTGTTCCCTCTCTCGCTGTCTCTCTGTCAAATAAATAAATAAAATCTTAAAAAAAAAAAAGATTTAATTTGGGGTCATATCTTTTTCACTCTACTTTTTATATTAATTGGGAGGAAAAAATCATAATGACCATCTCTTACCTGAGCAGGCTTCTTCTGAACGACTTGTTGTGGCTAAGGAAGAAACAAACAAAAAGAACTGTTATATTTTAAAAGGAAACATACATAATGAAAATAATTAAGTATACATGTTTTAAATATAGACACTTGCCTGCAAAGTAAAGACAAAAAAATTGGTTCTAAAATTAGATTCACTTGAGGAGTCAAAGGGGCTAATTTGTTAATATTTTGTTTAAAAACACTCAGCTTTCTTGAGATACAGTTTACATACCATAAAATTCACCCATAAGGTGTATAATTCAAAGTTTCTTTCGTATATTCAGAGAGTTCTAAAATCACCATTCATGAGGTAGTTTTAGAACATTTTCACCTCCTTTCAAAGAAACCCCATACCCATTATCGACTGCTCCCCACTCCCTCCTGCCTTACCAGTCACCCTCCCATTCCCTAACCAACCACTCAAATTTCTGTCTCTATAAATTTGCCTATTCTGGACACTTCATGTAAATGGAATCATCCAGTATATGGTCTTTTGTGTCTGGCTTCTTTTACTTAGCACCATGTTTTCCGGGGTCATCTGTGTCGTAGGCACCCATCAGTACTTCCTGCCTCTTTACAACTGAGTAACATTCCACTATATGGATATACCACGTTTTGTTTATCCACCCATCAGATGTCCACCATTTGGCTATCATGAATAATGCCATGAACATTCATATATAAGTTTTACTGGAGACATGTTTTCATTTCGCTTGGGAATAGATAGCTTGGAGTGGAATTTCTGGGTCATACAGGTAACCCTATGTTAAACTTTTTGAGGAGCCACCAGACAGTTTTTCAAAACAGCTGCACCATTTTACATTTCCACCTGCAGCATATGAGGGTCCCAATTTCTCCATATACTTGTCAACACTTGTTACTGCCTGTCTTTTTAATTATAAACATCTACTGGGTGTGAGTTCAATGTCACTGTGGTTTCGATTTGATTTTCCCTAATGACAAATGATGTTGAACATCTTTTCATGTGTTTATTGGCAATTTGTATATCTTCTTAGAGAAATGTCTATTCAAATCTCTCGCTCATATTAAAGTTTGTTTTTTCATTATTGCGTTGTAGGAGTTCTTTATATGTTCTGGATGTGAGTGTCATTGGAATATGATTTGCAAATGTCTTCTCCCATTCTGTGGTTTGTTCACTTTCTTGATGGTTTCATTTGCAGCCTATTTTGCTTTATTTACATCTGTAGCTCTTAAATTATGTATGTAAAGCAGAATTCTCTTTTTTGAGTGAAACATCTGAGGGAAGTTTTTTCTACCCAGCCTAAATTAATTTTCCAACAATTGGAATATTCGGAAGATATTTAAGTTATTCTTGGTTAATGTAAGAGTAGTATCTGAAGCCCAAGCTTTTTGGTGGATTATTTCCAGTACTCACTCTCAAGTCCAAATAGAAGCCTTACTTCTTCTACCTACACATCACTAGGATTTGCAAACACAACGGAGCCATTCTGATGTGGATCGTGACATGCTTTTGTGGCACAAACGAGAAAAATAAAATCGCTCCCGTTCTCCCAAATAAGAGAAGTTGGGGCAACGTCACCATATCACGGGGCATAGAGCTCCTATTCATTTTCATCCCTCTCGGAATTTCTATGATGGTGTGATGGTCCTACCGCTGAGGTAGTAAACATGTTAGATAAAAATCATCAGAGCTTTTTTTTTCAGATGAACAAGATAAAAACAACTTTTTAAGATGACAAAATACTTCTGTTCACTGAAAAGAAAAGGGCTCTTCCCTTTGCCTGTAAGTCACAGGGGAGATGACATCATAAAAGCCCAGACTGTGAGATGATCTTTTCTCCAGGTGGTACTGAACCAAGGATGATGAGGACTTCTTGCCTCTTAGGACTCCAAAGTGTGTGCTGACAGAGGATTCATTTCACAGGAGTCATTTGTAAGGACAGACCACTTTCTTCTCTTTCTTCCTGCCGATGACACCTGTACACATGTTTATTCCCAAACCGTTTCAAATCCCCACACATTCTTGCAGGCTGACTGGTTTCTACGGCCCAGAAGTTCCCCTCCTCTTTTGGCTGAGGATCCCGCATTCATGGGACTCCTGCACACCGCGGGGCTCAATGAAAATCCTCTGTAAGGGCTGCCAACTCACCCGATTTTCCATGAATGAGGTCCTGACACTTCAATGAGGGGAAAGACAATGTCTGAACCTCAGCCAGCCCTGGCTCCCGGCCTAGTCGGTGTCGCAGAACTCCTACCAGCTGCCCCTCCACACAGCACTTCATACTTCTCAGACCACCAAACAAACAGACCCTTGAATGCTCTCACTGCTGGTTGGGGTGATGGCTGCCAGGATGTTTTCCCAGCCTCTGGCACCCAGTGGCTCCAGACGGTGCCGAGAAAGTTTTCTGTGGTTGTTATTTTGTTTTGTTTTTATTTTTATGAATGGCTTTGGTAGAAAATGCAGACGGAAGCATAATACTACAGCCATTCATAAAAAGGAAAAGGCAACAAACGATAATCTGGAAATCTTCTGGGACACCAAACAAACCGCAAGTTTTCTTATCTTCCTCGGGGCGTCTCCTAGCTTAGGACTAAGTGTTGATACCTAAAAACCAGTTGCCTCTTAGGATTCTTGTCATCAAAAACATGGTTGGCCCCTACATCTCTAGAAGAAGAACTGAATAATACCAACTATGCATATGAATCGGTAGTGTGGTTGGCAGTGTACTTCCCTGCACCTTAATAGATGAGTCATATTTTACACATGCATTTCCCATATCGAAGCTAAAATCCTTTTTATTTTTAACAGCTGCTGCCCCTTTGTGACCAGGGGGGCCCAAGCCTTATTATTTCCTTTTTTTTTTTTTTACAGGGAATCTAAGGCGTAGGGAATCGAAATCACCTCCCCTAAGATCGTTTTCTAAAGCTAAAACAACTTGAGTCTTCTTCTTTTAATTCCCTGTATAATATTCTGAAGAAACCCATTTTCTTCCTTCACCTCCTCTCTCTAAAGTCAAATTCAAATCCAGATCCAATTCAGGAGAGTGGCCTGACTTCCACTTCCAGATTCCCCTTCTTTGGGATCTCAGGATTCCGCACGGCCGCCATGGGCAGAGGAAGCCCCTGGCTTCCTGAGCAGGGCCCAGCTCTACTTTACAAGGCTGCAGGTGACAGGTGAATGCCAGAGAACACGAGTTAGGCCCCACAGGGCCAGCTGATCCGCTGGCTCCCACTTGGAGATTCTTCCTTCATTACCAACTGTGGAGGGTCTGAAGAAGTCCCTTTTAAAAGGCATGAATTTCATGAGGACGACTGTATTGAACAAGTAACAAAGTCCTTTAACTTGCTTATTTAGGTGTTCCTGATGACTCTGTTTCTAATTAGTCTGCGCACATGGTGAGTTCATACACTTTAGGCACCTTGTTGGCTTGGCATGCAAACCCCTAGTGCACTGAAATTTTTTTTTTTTTTTTTTTAGTGCACTGAAATTTTGAGTACCTTGTGTTAAGAGAGAGTTAAACCTTTCAAGAAGATTCTCATGCAAATCTCTCACTCATTGCATTTAAACATCTCAAACACAGTAGGTAAAAGAGAGCTTTCCAGCCAGAATGAAATAACATCATCATCAACAACAAAGGACTCTGAAGATCAAGTGCTTTGGGTTAATACAATGTTAAAATAAGACCGTGAGAACTAAAAAGAACCCATAGCTAGAACATATCACGGGAAGATTCAGAAAAGCCCTTTCTAACCACACGGACTTCAAAGTGTGGTTCTCTGTGGGCCCATCCTTATACTGGACAAGTAGGCCAAATTCAAAGTACAAACTTTATGCAAATAAATATTGTTAAAGTTCGTACAGAGCGTAGGATACAGCATGCTAAGAAAGTGCAAGGGATACAAAAAAGGAAAGCACATACTTTTAGATTTCTGAGATCTTACAGTGGACCAATATTTCTCCAAAAGAAAAGAAAATAGTTACCGAATTTTTAATGTTCACAGAGTATTTTGGTTTTTAAGATTTTGTAGAATGGCACTTGTGTAGGAAATGGCCCGCTGCACCATCTATTTCAGAATAATTAAGGGGTTCCCCAGCCCTCTTGAGAATCCAACCTATGGTTCCATGGAGTCTAGGTATTTAAAGCTGATACTTACACAGCTAAGCCACCCTTCTGGTAGGCACTGAAAGAAAATCCTTCATAACAAAGGGCCTAGACATTAGTAGCTCATTTTTAATACTAATCAAGACAGTAAATGAAATGAGACTGGAATTGGGCTTACCAACTTCATTTGGAAAAAAATGAGGTACAATGTGCAGTAAGGTAAGGAAGATAATTATGTAAAGAGTCTTAAGTTGACCTTTGAAAGAAAATAGCCCTTCATTCGGATCTCTGTACAGGTGGGTCTTTTGGTTTAATGTAAGCAGCAGATTTTTAATCTAATTATATCTTTTGTTTTTGCTAGCCACTGGGAGGTGGTTTTGTCCACTTTGTTTTAAAATCATAAGACCGTTGTTCAATCAAGAGGTACCTCTGCTCTTTAGCACAATCTTTTCTTCATGTAGATTGTTTTTCACTCTCGCAGCAGTATGGAGTAAGACAGATTCCCCTAGGTATTTACTAAAAAAAGAATTTTAAAACCCTCATTTCCTCTGCAAGATATGAAAGTCCCCCTCAGTATCACTCTCTTGAAATGGGAGTTAACATTGAAGGGGACTTTAACATCTCCCAAAATAACATCTCACAGATAAGCTCAGCTATTTAAAATTTTAAATTAAATATGGGATCATATTAAAAACATTTCTAAACAGATATTTGTTTTTAGACTTCCAGAGAGTCCTTTATGCCTAAGTCAGCTCGTTGAAAAAGTGGGTCTTATGATTGCAATTGTAACCACATGAGTGCAACCACCTTCATATTTTGCCTGAACTGACTGATGAATGTATCCCTACCATTTGGAGAAAATTTCATTAAATAAATTGACCTATTACTCAATTACTTCAACTGCTTTCTGGACTAAATTAATTGGTTATT